CATGTATGAGACATGCACATCATAAAAAGTAGGGCACATGCCCTGTGATCCCAGCGCCTGGGGGTGCTAGTCAGAGGGTCAGAAAGTCAAGGTCATCCTTGATTGAGCACCCTGATTCACTGAATAGGTGGAAGAACAAGTGAGGATAGTTTCCCACTATAGTTTTGGACCTCCACATGAGTGTGCGCCATGTGCACATGAACCCACCCACCTACCCATATGTATATGAGCATACCTCACACATGAAATGGGGAGAAATTATGTCTATCTGGCCCCAAATTTCCTCTTACGGCTTCTTTGCCACTTTGATTTTTTAGTTCATTGAGCATTTGTGTCTATCCCTCTGTAGGCACTGGCCTGGAAGCTGAGCTACAGCAGATCATAAGTTAAATGAATGCCGTTCTCCTCATCTGCATGGTCTTGAGACTGACCTAAACACTGTGTATGTGTCTATCAACCTGTTTGTTGTTAATCACTCCATCTGGAGACAAATGCTCACTTATCTTCTAGCATCCTCATCTGATAAAAATGTTTGCTTTTTTAGCCCATAAGGAAACAGTGTCCATACAAAGCAATGCAGTTGTATCTAACAACAGTTAGATATGCTGTTCAGGCCACACCGCAGCAGAACCAAATGGCGCTTTGCTTCATCTCAAGACCAATACTTTCTTTCTTTCCCTCTTTCCTTCTTCCTTCCTTCCTTCCTTCCAGAAATGTATTTGTCTGGACATTTTGCCTGCATGTATGTCTGTGCATCATACATGCCCACAGAAGCCAGAAGAAAGCATCAGATAAATCCTCTGGAACTGGAGTTACTGATGATTGTGAGCTGCCATGTGGATGCTAGAAATCGAACCCTGGCCTTTTGGACGAGTAGCCAGTGCTCTTAGGCACTGAGCAATCTCTCCATCCTTTAGAATCCATTCTTATTGATTTTGTTTTTATGGGAGTGTTTCTTGACAGCATTCCAAGTTCAACTTAAATTCCTTCCCTGAGGCGAGTCAAGATGCCAAGTTGAAACGTTGAGGTGGTAAGAATACAAAACCAGAACCTGATAGTTCTAAATTCTGGCACCCCTCTCTGTGGCCAGTTAGTGGCCTGGTCTTGAGTCATGCACATGACTAATTTACATGCACCCACCTTCATAAAGCACAAAAGCTGCAAGGTGCTGGGAGTCCACCTCATCTTAACTCCTGCGTGGACTGGTGCTCTACTGTTCCCAGCAACGTTTCTGGGCTGACTGCCTCTGGCGGCAGGATTGCTGCTCTTTGCCCTGCACCCACTTCCGTTATCCGACGGTCTTTCTCAAATAACTGGTTGAGAGTTTTCTCTCCGGGTCCCACCAAGCCCCGGCAGTCCACTTATAAAATAAACACACAGATGCTTATATTATTTAAACTGTTTGGCCTAATGGCTCAGGCTTCTAGCTATCTAGTTCTTACATCTTAAATTAATCCATTTCTATAAATCTATACCTTGCCACATGGCTCATGGCTTACCGGCGTCTTCACATGCTGTTTGTCATGGCAACGGGTGGCAGTGTCCCCCTCTGCCTTCCTGTTCTCTCACTTCTCTCTGTTAGTCCTGCCTATATTTCCTGCTTGGCTATGGCCAATCAGTGTTTTATTTATTGACCAATAAGAACAACACATTTGCCATACAGACCATCCCACAGCACTGGTCCCCCTTGTAAGGTCTTTCGCCCCACCTTTTTCTTCTTCCTTTTTTTAAAAAATAGTGCTTGTAGTTGAAAATATTAGTCCTCTCTGACTCTTCCTTTGCCTTCACCCTTTTAAGGCTAACATACCGAACACCAAGCGTATCCAAGCTCAGGGAGGGGCAGTGCTAGGCGCTTAGTTTTGGTGAGTTCCTTTCCCTTTCTACCTCTGGTCTGAAGGGCTCGCCACCGCTGTGTGCCTGCCCTCTCTCCTGGGTCTTAGGGATCCCGTATAATGTTGTGCATCAGATCTTGGTATGCTGTTCATTTCCCTCCATCTTTTCTCAGTTAGGCAATCCCAGTCGTTCTCCTGGATCCTGACTCTTGCCCTCCCTAGCTTAGCACCAGACCTCTAATTTGTCTAATTAGTCCACCACCCCAGCGTCTCTCACTTCTCCCATATATGAGCTGTTCTAGCAAGTTTATCCCAAATGACTGCATTTCCTGTTTTCTACAAGACAGCTTGTCATTGAACTTGCTGTTGTCTGCCCCCACCCCCTTTCCCTGAGACCTGGCCCCTTGCTGGCTCACAGGGGCACAGTCACCATGCGGTGACCTCAGCGACTACTTACTATTGTATGCCAACACTTTCAGTTGAATGATTTTTTTTTTTCATTTTTGTTTTTTGAGACAAAGTCTCACTCCACAGCCTCGGATGACCTGAAACCCACTATGAGCCCAGGCTAGCTTCCAACTCCCAGCAGTTCCCCTCCCAAGTGCCAAGCTTAGCCTTGAGCTAATTTACCCAGCTCAGTTGAATAATTTCTAAAATGTCCCCTGGCTCTGAAACCTTAAGAAACAAGAGAAGAAAAAAAAAAGATCAAAGTGCTGGCAGCCGGAAGAGAAAGTGCAAAGAGGGCAAATGGCAGACTGTGACTTGTTAAAAGAGGAGGATAGGAATAAGCAGCTACCACCAGAGACGAGGTGGTCCACGAGTGTACCCTAGGCTGCCTCCAGCTCCTGGGATGCTCTTGAACTTCTGATCTCCTCCCCCCAACTGAGTCCTCAGATTATAGGTGATTTTTATGTGATGCTGAGGATAAAACCCAGAGCTTCATGCATGCTAAGTAAGCACTCTACAAAGGCTTACTAAGCTGAGTTACATCGTTGTTTTTCTGGATACTGCAGATAGGTTGGGTAGAATAAACCCTGGGCTGGATGTAGTGGTGCACACATTTAATCCCAGATCTTGGGAGGCAGAGGCAAGTAGATGTTTATGGGTTTGAGGCCAGCTTGGTCTACATACTGAGTTCTATACCAGCCAGGGCTTTGTCTCAAGTAAAAAGAAAATCAATCAAACAACAACAACAAAAACACCAACATAGAAGAATTCCATAACTTTCTGGGTTACTACCCTGAGTAATAGCACACCCTATGAGACTAGTCTATTAAATATAAGAGCCACACAGGAGGATTCTTCCCCCCCACCCCCCGAGACAGGGTTTCTCCGTATAGCTTTGCACCTTTCCTGGAACTCACTCTGTAGACCAGGTTGGCCTGGAACTCACAGAGATCCACCTGCCTCTGCCTCCAGAGTGCTGGGATTAAAAGGCGTGCGCCGCCGCTGCCGCCGCCGCCACCACCACCACCTCCCGGGTGATTCTTTTGTTTTTAAGAATTAAATTCTTGTATTTGTGTGTGTGTGTGTGTGTGTGTGTGTTTACCTGCCTGTGAGCACACTACAGAAGACAACTTGTAGGAGTCTTGTCTCTCCTTCTATCATACAAGTTCCAGGGATCGAACTCAGGTCTTTAGTAGCAGAGAGGCACCTTTACCCCTGAACCATCTCATGGGCCCCTGTAGGGTTTCTTTAGGATTCCTTCCTTCAGAAGACGAACGGTTCAGCTGGGGTGGGTCACACTCAGTGATCAGCCGTGTGAGAAGCACCTGCAGCAGGCACTTTCTGATCTTCTGCTTAGAGTCCGGGTGCTGTCTGGAACGGAGGGCATGGTGGGGTCTGTTAATAGTGCGTGTGCAGTAGTAACAGCACTAGGAAAGTCGTGACTAGCAGGTGAAAACAGCATTGCTTAGATAAAAATCCTCATTTTAAGGGAATAAAGAACATTGCAGACTCGAAGGCTGAAATAGGCTGCGGCGAGAAACCTAGCATTTGACCAGCCAGTTGCCTTCAAGTTCACAAGCGAGATAGAAGCTGTGAGCATTATTCAGTTCTGTGGTTACCTTATGAGGATGTATAACAACATCTGTGAGAGAGAAAAGAAAGGCAAGGTGACAAGGATACACATGCTGTGAATGTCTAGGAAGCTGGAAAAGCCCAGAGGGAAGGGAGCTGAGGAGACTGTAGGGCAGCGTGCGGTCTCTGGCTCAGTAGAACAGCTGGGATGTCCCAGCGTCTCTGAATGCTGTCCTTGGTCTGATTTTGGCAAAGGTCAATAATGAGGTCAGAGAAGTTGGGTTAGTTTCAGATTGAGGTGAGGAGGGGTTGGGGATTTAGCTCAGTGGTAGAGCACTTGCCTAGCAAGCACAAGGCCCTGGGTTCGGTCCTCAGCTCCGACAAAAACAGATTGAGGTGAGGGCTTTGTCAGGAACTTATAGAAGGTATAGTATAGTATAGTATAAGGATTCTCTTCTAAAACGAGACCATGGCTCTGACAGTCTACGGGAATACCCTGGCCTCTCATTCTGGATCTCAGAGTATCACCCATGACGTCAAGTGTCCACAGGCCTGGGAAGCCTCACTCTTAACCGCTGACCCTAAGGTTTACTCCAGGGAGAACTTGGATGTGCGGAGGGTCTCAAGATAAATGTCCTCAGTCCATATCTTACCACACTATTTCTTTATCAGCGGTATGCTAATAAAAACAAGTGTTGGGGATCTAAATTTTTGGACCTCACACGTGTTAGGCAGGTACTTTGCTACTGAGTTAGCGATCAGCTCAGTTCAAAAGAAATCCTTTAAAGCATTATTTTTTTCATGGAAAATAAAAGTGCATCATGGAGTATATTGATAAATTAAATTTTTTTTTTTAATTTTAAGTATTTTTACTTTGGAATAATTTCAAATTTAAGCATAAGTTACAGAGGTGGTGTACAAGTTCCTCTGCATACTTCACCCAGATGTTTCCCATTGTTCACATATCTGAGCTATGCAAAAATAAGTTCCTAACATAGTGCCCACTATCTCTTTAAACTGGCATCTTTCACGTGTCGGGAGCTGGCCGCAGACTCTCCTCGCTGCGGGGGCCGACTGCGGAGTCCGAGCTGCAGCCGCACAAGTTATAACCAGACACATTTTCAGAAAGTTTCTCCCGCTCTTTGACAGAGTGCTGGCTGAAAGATGTGCCGCCGAAACCGTGACCAAAGGTGGCAAGATGCTTCCGGAGAAGTCTCAAGGAAAAGGATTGCAAGCGACAGTAGTGGCTGTGGGATCGGGCGCCAAAGGACAAGGTGGAGAGATTCAGCCAGTCAGTGTGAACGTCGGAGACAAAGTCTTCTCCCAGGATACGGAGGTACCAAAGTAGTTCCAGACGGCAAGAGATGGTGACGTTCTTGGAAAGTATGTGGACGGAAATCACTGTTGAAATGGTGTCACATGAAGCTGCCCATTCGGCTGACGGCCTGAACTATTTATTATTCATCATGCAAATAATTTCCATGCCTCCTTTTTTTTTTTTTTTTTTTTTTCCGAGACAGGGTTTCTCTGTGTAGCTTTGCGCCTTTCCTGGAACTTACTCTGTAGCCCAGGCTGGCCTCGAACTCACGGAGATCCACCTGGCTCTGCCTCCCGAGTTCTGGGATTAAAGGCGTGCGCCACCACCGCTCGGCCTATGCCTCCCTTTAATAACAAACTGATGATGCCTTAAAAACAAACAAACAAACAGCTTCAGTGACTATCTGCTAATGACAAGTACCTTTGCCATCCTGGCCACAGTGCAGCCAACAAGACCGGGAAATGAGCAGTCAATCTATTATAACAAGTGAATTTTAAGACAGTGTATATGATTTCCACATAACACCTATCTCTAAATATTGGTTAAGAAGGGGACTTCAGAGAAATCCCAGGCTTGTCAGGCACACGTTAGGAGTTTGAAACAATTCTCTTCTGCTCTTTCTATACTTTAGGGAAAACTCTAGGCATCATTGTTCTACCCTACTTGACCGTGAAAACCCACCCAACTTTAAATATGCCAACTTAAAAACAGATACTGGGTTGGCAAAACGGCTTCACATTGTCTTCTGAGTTCCACACCTGTGCCCACCTACCCCGACCCCTACAAAAATTAATAAGTACATATTTAACAAAAAATGTAGACACTTACTATAGATGCTTCAGGATGTCATAGGCTCATCTGGAGTGCCACCAGACAGGACCTTTGTGATGTGTCCCTGTCTTTGAACAGCTAGTGGAGGTGCAGGCCTTTGCTCTGGCTGAATGTCTTTATTTATGTCTCCAATGGCATGGCCAGGGACGTGCTTGACCAGCTGGCTGACAAGTCCTTGGGTACCAATTCCCCTACCTGAATGACAAAATGCAAGCAGGGATGCATACATGTCAGCAACATGGGCCTTAAACACCCTTCTGGATAAATATATTTTTGTCTCAAATCCAGGAGTCTGTTTATTCACAGGTTGATTTTTGCCAAGCCTGTGTACTGTGAATTAGACACTTGAAAATGCTTGAGATCCATTTAAGATTACTAATTAGAGTGCTAGCTTGATGCCACTGGACTGGTTGAAAAAAAAAGAAAGAAAGGAAGGAAGGAAGGAAGGAAGAAAGAAGGGAGGGAGAGAGGGAGGGAAGGAGGGAGGGAGGAAGAAAAAAAAATCTGAGTTCTTGCCCAAATTACCTGTATGATCTTGGGCACATGTCTAAGACATCTGTGCCTTACTTTTCTGGCATCAACCTCTCACCTCCACATGCATTCCCACACACATGTACCCACACACATGTGAACATGCTTGTACGTACATCAGCCTGCACACCCCTAGAGATTTTTTTATAACACAGCTTCTCTATAGTTTGAAGTAATATTTCACTGTAGCCTAGTGTGGCCTTGAATTTACGGTGATCCTGCTAAGGACTGGAATTACAGGTATGCTCAACAAAATTGTTGATTCCTCCTACACACACACCAATTAAATGCATCCTTCCAACTCTGATAATTTACCTTACCTGGAGGAAATAAAGTTCTTTTTGTCTGACCTTGAACTTTACTTCACCTGCTTTTGTCTGGGAGCCTTTTAAAAATAAGATTGACTTTTTATTTTACGTGAATGAGTGTTTATGAGTGCCTTCTCTGCATGCGTGTATGTGTACTACTAGTGATCCTGCCAACAGAGGAGGTCGGAGGAAGGTGCCAGATGTACTGGAACTGGAGTTACAGTTGGTTGTGAGCTACCCTGTGGGCGATGGAACTGAACCTCAGTCCTCTGGAAGAGCAGTCAGTGCTCTACCCACTGAACCATCTCTCAGCCCCCATGGGACCCTTTTTGGCAGCAGGAAGATGAGGAGTTTGGCTTTACTTTGCTTGCATCCTTTGTTCTTCAGCCATCGAAGTCAATCATGTTCACAGATCTGACCATTCAGCATCTGACCCCACAGCAGTCAGTATCAATATTAATAATAATACCTCTCAGACTTTCCCTGCATGCTAGCCACTGCTATCTAGTCACTTTGAATTCACGTGATTCCTGGGTTTTTTGGATGCATCTTTGTATAGATGTTTCCTGCTTACCTCCCTAGGTTGAGAGGGATTTCTACCAGAGCATACTTCTGTCATGACAGACATCTTTTCTTTCCCCTCCTATAAACTATCATTAGCAAGGGGGCTTCCTAATGCTTCTTGTCTCCATGGCTATCCAAAGCTTATTGAATTGAATGACCTCATTGCTAGGAAAGTTGGCTCACCCTAGCTCCACTGTTAAGTTCCTTTATTTACTGGATTCCACTTCTGTTCCTTAGATCCAGGTTTCCAGACTCCTGAAAGCCATGTGCAGTGACCGGGCGGTTCTCACCTGGTCATCCCTTCTCCCTTGTCATCCTCGGCGACAGAAATCTTGAGTGACTAACCAGTTTTGTTTTTTTCTCTAATTTTTCCACCCCCACTCCCCCATTTTTTGAAAGGTTCTGCATTTTATTACTGGACCAACCACTCTCCCAATTTAAACATGACCAAGTCTCCAGGTTAAAATGCTGAACTCCATCCATGACTCAGTATTGATCCATCCAACACCCAGTCTTGCCATCATGTGAATCCAGCTTTGTTCTCCTCCAGTGTCTTCTCTTAGAGTTGTACCTGACTTTGTTACCAGTTTTCATCCAAATCCACTGAGGAACGGGATGATTTTGCTTTTGATTCATGGCCAGGAATCGCTTGATTCTGGAAATCGTGTGAGAAGAAGTGGTGGGAGGTGGGGTCTCCCCAGCTCCGCCCTGCACCGCCCCTCCCCTCCCCTCCCCTCCCCTCCCCCATTCTTTGACTTTCAAGTAGTAATGCATCAGGTTTCCACCAGCCTGGGCTTTGGCCTTATTGTCAGCTTAGACCTCAGTTTTGGCTTTTGGGAAGCTGAAAGGTCAAATGCCTGTCCTATTGTTCCTGGCATTCCAAAATGTGCTGTGATCAAATAGGTTACTGTCAAGCCCAGGAGCTGCCAGGAAGAAGAATCAGGCAAGCCTCGCATTTCAGGCATTTACTGAAACTCGTCTTTCTCTGTCCCACCAGCCAGCTCCCAAATCCTGACACAGAGACTTATTATTAGTTATGGAAGCTTGACCTTAGCTTAGGCTTGTTTTTAACTAGCTCCTTTTAACTTAAATCAACCCATTTCTACTAATCTATGTGCAGCCACCCGGCTTGTTACACACACACACACACACACACACACACACACACACACACTGCTTGTCTTGCTTGTTCCCATCCCTCAGCGTCTCCACCTTCTTCCCAGCACCCTCTCTGCCCCCCAAATCCTACCTAGCTATTAGTTGTTCAGCATTTTATTAAAAACCAATCCGAGTGACACATCTTCACAGTGTACAAAATGGTTATTCCACAACAATTCACTACCGATACCAAGGTGGTCCCAAACACTGGTGCACATCTTCAATGTATCCGTGAGAGAAAAATTTTCCTATGAACTTATAAAATGTTGAAAGTGCACCCGGGCATGATGGCTCATGCCGGTAATCCCAGAATTTTGGAGGCTGGGGTGAGATTGCCAGGGGTTCCAGGTCAGCCTGGGCTGCATAGTGAGTTCCAGGCCAGCCTGAACTACACACAGAGTGAGATCCTGTCTCAAATAAACAAAGAAAAAGAAATCAGAAATGTTAAAATTCTATGTGGTCGGTATTTTGGCTCTTTTGGTGGTGGTGGTGGGGGGGGCTACCGCCCAGCTCCCAAATAAATTACACACGGAGGCTTATTCTTACTTATGAATGCCTGGCCTTAGCTTGGCTTAGTTTCTAGCCAGCTTTACTTAACTTTAAATTATCCTGTCTACCTTTTGTCTCTGGGCTTTTCCTGTTCTCTGACTTCTGTAAGTCTTACTCCGTGACTGGCTGTGTGGTTGGGTGGCTGGCCCCTGGAGACCTCCTTCTTCTCTGGCTCCTTTTTTGCTTCTCTCCTCCCAGACTTCTCCCTCTCTATATTTTCTCTGCCTGCCAGCCCCGCCTATCCTTTCTCCTGCTTTACTATTGGCCGTTCAGCTCTTTATTAGACCATCAGATGTTTCAGGCAGGCACAGTAACACAACTTCACAGAGTTAAACAAATGCAACATAAACAAAAGTAACACATCTTAAAATAATATTCTACAATACAAGTATGCCTGTATATTTATTATAAAAATTTTAATAATTAATAACTGCAAAAGCTTACACTGGTGTTTATAAAATGATTATTAAATTTCTTCTACATAGTTAAAAAACAGGAAAATTAGCTGACAGGCAAGATGACTATTAGGAAGCTGAGCATGGTGGCAAAGACCTTTAATCCCAGCATTCTGGAGGCAGAGACAGGCAGATCTCTGAAATTGAGGCCAGCCTGGTCTACAGAGCGAGTTCCAGGGCTTTGGAACTCAGTGAGAAACCCTGTTTCAAGGGGAGGAGTGTGGTAATAGGAGAAGATAAGTATTAGGAGAAGCTGTATGAGCTGGAGAATCTTAGAAGAACTATATATATTTGCAATTTAGTAATATAATAAAAATATTATCTAACAAATAATACAAATCAAAAGAATATAAATTAAACTATATTCTACCTGTGATTTAATTATGCAATACTCATAGGAACTTATTGCTGTATTAACAATCATCATGTAAGATCTCTTTGAGTTTGAGGCCAGCCTGGGCTACAGAATGAGTTCCAGGAAGGCTGCAAAGCTACACAGAGAAACCCTGTCTCGAAAAACAAAACAAAACAAAACAAAATTATATCTTGGAAGGTTCTAGAAAGAATAAGGTATAACTTTACAACACAGTGAAGTACACACAAATCCCAAGTCCATAGTTTTCACACAGTAAACATACTCAGATGACAGCAGAGCCTCCCCCTCCCTCTCAGAAGGCACCCATGCTTCCTGTTCTCCCCCAGGGCCCCTGGCAACACAAATTTCTTGAAAACTGTTTTGTTTGTGTTTTGAGACAGGGTCT